GATAATTGACTTGCATAGAGCATGCGTCCGTAAGAATTAAATTAAAGGAGGGAGAGAGGTAAAAGAAAAAGGCTCAGTTGGAAATTGTCATCCAAGCCTCTTGAAATTTCTCTATACTAATATAAATTTTAGGAGATTTTCTCAGCTAGACCTAATTTGTCATTCTCCTTAATTAAAATTTAGGGTTAAAATGCATTTTTTTTCTGTACTTTCTTGAAAAATGCTCATCATTTTATGCTAATAAGTCAAGCATTTTTCTCTTTGAAATATTTTTCAAAAGAGTGAAAACCCCTATCTATTAGTGATCTGTTAACTCTGTCATCTTTTGCCAACTTGACATGGTCTTTAGTGCTAATTTATTTCTGAACTATTTTTCTAAGAGCGCTAGGTACCCTAAAATTTTAGTAAAATAAAATCTAATAATATATTAAAATTTAATATTTATTAAAAATGATATTTAAAAAAATAATATTGATTAAATCTCTTAAATTTATTAGGTTATTCTCTATAATTTTTTTTAGTCAACTAACATTAAATTAACAGAAATTTAAAACTGAAGTGTCTCGTGATCTTAATTGGTATTTCATATAATTTAATATGTTTTTCTAATTTTAAAATTAGGAAAAATATTAATTTTGTCCATTTATTTGGAGGTTCATTCCCTCCTTTTTTAATACAAAGTTTCAAAATATCAAAATATTAAATTTGAGTGATGCAATATTTTAAAAAATTGTTAGTTGACTAAACAAATTACAGAGAATTACCTAATTAAAATATTTAAAGGACTTAATTATTATTAATTTTCTTATAAGATTATTTTTATAATTTATTTTAAAATATTATTGTTATTATTATTTGGATTAAAGTGCATTTTTTCCCTCTCTACTTTCCTTCAAGAAGCACCAAGCACTTTATATTAATAAAGGCATTTTTTTCTTAAATTATTTTTCATATGAGCAAAAATCTCCCTCAGTTAATGGATCACTGACGGAAGGATTTTTGCTCCCGTGAAAATAATTTAGAAGGAAAATGCCTTACTTGTTGTGTGTCTAATTATTGAGGCATTTTTTCTCTAAATCATTTTCTAAAGGAGAAAAAATCCCTCTTGTTTAACAAATCACTCATGGAAAGGGATTTCTACTCTCTAAGAAATAGTTTAGGGAAAAAATGCCCTATTTGTGTGGGTGAAAGGTACTAGTCCCTCACAGTGTGGTAAATCAAGGCTCAAATTCATGTTAGGAGAGATGTCAATATTTAGTGTTTTGACTATATCTCAAATAGAATTACCTTCAATAAAAGTAAGAGTGAGAATAGGGCAAACTTTGCCAAACAAGCCTAAGCTGTAACATACTGCCTCTAATCCTTATTATAAAACACTTTCAACCTTTTCACATATCTAAAAAAATAGTTTTTTATATTATAAAAAATGAGATGTATGTTCATTTTTACTCTAGTTTTTAAATTATAATACAACTATATTAAATACTTTCACGTTAATCAAGAAAGGGTAAAATTGAAAAAAAATTATTAACAAGGTGTCCAATATTTTTTATTAGTTATAGAGAATGTCTTATAAATAGATTAGAGGGAGTAGACCCAAAGCCTGGGCCTATACACAAACTTGTTTATAAGCTCAAGTCTAAACTTGCAGTAGGCCTAGCTTGATTTAAAGCCTTTTTTTTTAACTAAGAAATGCATTCATAATTAAACAAAATTATATCAATGATGATATAATCTGCTGAATCACTCTCATCATCCCCGCCTCTTGATAAAGATGGAGGATGATCAAGGTACAAAAGCTAACATTTAATCTATGAGATATCTTAGCAAGGTGATCAATATAGGTATTATTTAAAGCCTTTTTAAAGGCCTACAAAATGCTTCACAAATTAAATGTCAAAATTCTTAAGTTGGCTTTAGGCATACCAAAACTTACATTTTTTATGTAAGCTTCAAAGCCCACATATAATTAAAATGAATAAAGTCTATAAGAAATCTAATTAAAACAAATTTTAAATAGTTGCATCACGTAA